GCTGCTTGCAGCTTCATTTAGTGTTTTACTTTGTTTTATAATTTAGTTGTTTTGTTTCAGTCATATGTGTATATATATATAATTTCTTCCCTTTGCTTTTCTTTGTATATGCTTTATATTATTTTCTATCATAATCTGTGTTCTTTGTTTAAAACAGGTTTTTCATGTAAATGAGTCCTTGAGGGTCAATGAGACTAACCTGTTTAAATAAAGATTGAATTGAATTTATTTTAATAAACACTTGTTAGTTTAATTTTAGTTTTAGGTGTTAAAATTGTTGCAGAGGTGGGACAATGACTGTACTTACTGTATGTATACTGGCGTGATGGTGACTTTTTAAAATTTCTATTAAGAACAAGTATTTATTGTACTTCGTTTTGACTCAGTTGATTTCTCTCTTTGAAATCAGTCTCCACATGTCTTCTGTCAAACTCACTGCATGGTTTTTAAGCCTTTTTTTTTGTCCTCAGCCATTGTCTTAATTGCCTAAAGGGCAGGAAAAAGAATGTCAGCACTAGCCATACTTTATCCATGTCACCACACATACAATTCTTTTGTGGAGAATGTGAGTTTGGTCTAATTTTGCAACAAATTCCCTGATGTTTTTGTGTTTGACTATGATGGCTGATTGCCTCTAACAATCATAGAAACCAAAGCCCCATTCAGATCCTCCTTTCTGCCAACCGAGAGTACATTAGATGAAATTATACTTTATTGTGATTAAAAGATACAAAACTCAATCAACAAATGAACTGATGTTCTTGTCTTCATTTTGTGATGTATAGGTGTTGAATAATTATGTTAATGCCATTATTATGGTTGCTTTACACATCTGATGCCAGTTCCTTGGAACACAACAAGTCTGACGCATACATCGGAATGGGAAAAACAGATGTGTGAATGTAACAAAAGTACTTTGTAGTAATAACAGCAAAAAAAACCCAAAAAAAACAGTAATTATAAATTATATTTGGAATGCACTTTACAACGGTGATTCTATATGCATGAAAAAATAACAAGAAAATGTAAGAACTGGAAAACAAAAAGAAAGGCTTTAGTCCTTACTAAAAGCGCCACAATCTGTGCCCTCATTTATCCATTCATACAGCACTCTACTATGTATTTACAAAGAATAATTGGTGCTTTTTCATATTCGTACACCGATGGGAAACACATCAGAGGCAATGAGGGAGTCCGCGAAAACAAAACGCAAAGTAACGAGGGACAACTGTATGTGTGTGTGTGTGTGTGTATATATATATATATATATATATATATATGCAGCTGCTGGATTTGTCCATTTATTTTTTAATCTGCTCATGTGTTTTTGCAGAACATGAACATATAAATAAAAGTTGCAGTACAATTTCAATTGAGGCAGAAAAAATATGGTGGGTGTTGGAGGGTGACACATTTTTCAGATGTTTTACTTTAAATTGTATATACCTTATTGAAAAATATGCATAGTGTATTTGCCCTTTACTAATTTAAAACACAACTGTAGTTTGCCACTATGGACCTCCTTTTGCTCCACCTTTTAGTTCCGCAGAGGGAAAACAACATCCCTGTTCGTTAATAATTATTGGCTATTGCAGAATAAAAGTACCAGTTCAAGTTTTTCATTTGCAATAAGGTACATGAAATGCAAAATAGTGTTTTTAGCAAGATGATATCAACACAGATGTGGCCAGAGCAGGGTTGTGCACTTTTACAGCTGTTGTTGTTGGTCTCTTTTACCCAGTCTGAGGAGTCAATTTGCAGACGAAGAGGAGATTCAGAGATCCCCCAGCTGTCTAAGGATGGGGATATTATGTTAGGGGGGATTTTTTCTTTCCATAGCAGCTGGAAAAACATTAAGAACACTTACTCAGAAAAACCTTTACCACTGGAATGCATCAGGTAAATTCGACTATAGAATAGATCATATATTTTGCCTTGGTTTAAATATGATCAAAATAAGTAAATATATTTAATTGTAGAATTGTTTCTGTTTCAAAAGAAAACCATTTTTATGCAGACTATTTTTTTCAATGTTTTCTGAAACCAGTTTAAATTTCAGAGAGTTCCAGTTTGCTCAAGCCATGCGTTTTGCCATTGAGGAAATTAATAACAATTCAGTTCTACTTCCTGGAATTTCTCTTGGATATAGCATTCATGATACCTGTGGTTCCATTGCCAGAAGTGTAAAGGTTGCACTAGCCTTGAACAATGGCAATGACAATGCATCTTCAACCTTGGATAAGCCGTGCACCAGACATGCACAGGTCCAGGCTTTATTAGGAGAAACCTCGTCCTCTCCCAGCGCAGCAATAGCAACAGTTATTGGACCATTGCATATCCCGCTTGTGAGTGGTGCTGACAATCTTGACAAACTTAAAACTATAATTGTCAAGCTCAGACTATCATTTCAGTTTTGGAAGCTAATGTTTTTACTTTCATTTTTTGATGTAATCTGTTGCAGTTCACGTTTTCTGTTTCTACTTTCAGATCAGCCATTTTGCTACATGTGCTTGTCTCAGTGATAAAACTAAGTACCCATCCTTTCTTAGAACAGTACCCAGTGATTACTATCAGAGCAGAGCTTTGGCTCATTTGGTCAAACACTTTGGTTGGACCTGGGTTGGAGCTGTGAGGACCAACGATGATTATGGGAACAATGGCATGGCAACATTTACAGAAACTGCAGAGCAACTGGGCATCTGTCTGGAATATTCTGTTTCTTTCTTTAGAACAGATTCAACAGAAAATATTCAAAAAATTATTGATATTATCAAGGCTTCAACTTCAAAAGTGATAGTTGCTTTTCTCTCACATATGGACATGGATGTGTTTATGCATGAACTGTCTTTTCACAACTTGACAGGGTTCCAGTGGGTCGGCAGTGAGTCGTGGATATTTGATTCTCAAATTGCAGCAATGGATAAAAATCACATCCTTGATGGAGCTATAGGACTTTCTATCCCAAAATCAAATGTCAGTGGTTTGAAAGAGTTCATGTTTGATGTAAAGCCACTGATTTCATTAAATAATGACTTGTTTACGGAGTTCTGGGAGGCATTATTCAGCTGTAAATTCAAGCAATCACAATCTGAAGACATTCAGAGAGAATGTACTGGACATGAGGATCTGACTGGAGTGGAAAACAGCTTCACTGACATGTCGCTCATGCCTATTTTCAGTAATGTCTATAAAGGAGTGTATGCAGTGGCCCATGCTCTGCACGATATTCTCAATTGTAATGAAACATGCAACAACAATGTACAGTTTGATCCTCTCATGGTGAGCTTTTTTTAAAATGTCAAGAAGTCAAATTATTGATTAAGATGTACTGCATGTATCATAAAACAAACTCATTAAATAAACAATTGATGTAGATATTACAGCACATAAAGAAGATTCATTTTCAAACAAAAGAAGGCCATGATGTTTATTTCAATGAAAATGGAGATCCAGCAGCAAAGTATGAGATTATAAATTGGCAGCCCAATGACCATGGATATGTGGACTTTATCTCTCTTGGGCTTTATGATGCATCATTGTCTGCAGACAAACAGTTATATCTGCAAAATCTATCCATAATTTGGGCACAGAGGTCGTTGCAGGTAAATGCTATGTGCATTTTCTGTTGAATTTTAATTTTTCATCTATGTGCATCAACAATATAAAAAAATACATATTTGTCATTGAGGACTGTGAGCTTGTTTTTTTCCTTCTTCTTTTTGCTTTCATTTATTGCAGATGACTGTGTCTGTTTGCAGTGAAAAATGTCCCCCAGGAACACGCAAGGTTCTACAGAAAGGAAAACCAGTTTGTTGTCATGATTGTGTTCCATGTGCAGAGGGAGAAATGGCAAACAATTTAGGTTTTATATCTTTCTATTCATGTTTTTTTTGTGTGTTGCATAAGTTAAAGTTGATGCAATCACAATATATATATTTTTAAAGGACAAATGTTTGATACATCTTCATTATCTGCCATTCAGTGAATTGTAGATTATCTTGCAGTTCAAGTTGGCAAATGTTTTAAGATATATGACCCATACATGTCCATGTATGAACAGGGTGGCTGTGGCTGAGTGGCTAGAGCAGTTGTCTTCAAATGCAAGAGTCGGGGGGGTTCATTTACACAAGCAGTCACATGCTGAAGTGTCCCCGTGCAAGACATGCCTCCGATGTGTGTCCCATCAGTGTATGAATGTGATAAAGCACTGGCTATTATCTGTATAGATATAGTAGAGTGCTGTATGAATGTGTAAATGAGGGGACAGATTATAGTGTAAAGTGCACTGAATACATTGATGATAGAAATACGCTATATAAGTACAATCCATTTACATTTATGTTTTAGAATTGTTTTGTATTTCTTTATTTTGTTCTCATTTGTCTTTTTTTTTTTAAATCTACGAAAACATACTGGGGAAACTGGCTGAAACATTCATTTATTTTCTTAGTGATCTAAAAAGAAAGAAAAAAATAAATAAATAAAATTCCTATTAGTGGTTTCAAGAAGCACCAATACTGCTGAGTCTACAAGACAAAACTATCTCCATTTTGTAAGAGCAGGTATCACCAACACTGGACTTAGAAAGTGTTACAGATCAACACAGTCTTTGCAATGAAAACAATAAAAAAACGTTTTTATTAGATTCAGAAAAATTATGTTTTTTTTATTTGTTTGTTTGTTTTTAAAGTCAGACACACACACACACACACAAAAAAAAAAAAAAAAAAAAAAAAATGCTTATTTATACTCAGCTGCCCAAGAGCAGAGTTGAGTTCTCTAATCAGTAACTCTGAGTTATATCATCTGATATCAACCTAGTTCCAAGGTTAAAACAAAAGTAGACAAATTTGGCTTCATAATTTTGACTTCTGTTTCAACATTCCTTTGCAGATTCTATCACATGTGTGAGATGTCCGCCTGAATTCTGGTCAAATGACAGAAGAGATACTTGTGTAAAGAAAGAGGCTGAGTTTTTACGATATGAAGAGATAATGGGAGCCCTGTTGACTTCAGTCTCGTTATTTGGAACATGTCTGACTGCTGCTGTAGCTGTCATTTTCTTCAGACACAGGAAAACTCCACTTGTCAGAGCAAACAACTCTGAGTTGAGCTTCCTGCTGCTTTTCTCCTTGACTCTGTGTTTTCTCTGCTCTCTGACCTTCATTGGCCAACCTTCAGATTGGTCCTGTATGCTCCGTCACACAGCATTTGGCATCACCTTTGTTCTTTGCCTGTCTTGTGTTTTGGGGAAGACGATGGTGGTTTTAATGGCATTTAAAGCTACACTTCCAGGAACAAATGTGATGAAATGGTTTGGACCTACTCAACAGAGAATTAGTGTTCTAGGCTTTACTTTAATACAAGTTATCATATGTATAGTCTGGTTGACAATTTCTCCTCCATTTCCATTTAAGAATCTTAAAGAATACAATGATAAAGTCATCTTGGAGTGTGCTCTGGGCTCAGCTGTAGGCTTTTGGTCTGTACTTGGGTATATAGGGCTTCTTGCTATCTTGTGTTTCATTTTTGCTTTTCTGGCTCGGAAACTGCCTGATAATTTTAATGAAGCAAAGTTTATCACCTTCAGCATGCTGATATTCTGTGCAGTCTGGATCACTTTTATCCCAGCGTATGTCAGCTCTCCAGGAAAATTTAGTGTTGCTATAGAAATTTTTGCCATTCTTGCCTCCAGTTTTGGACTGCTGATTTGTATTTTTATCCCAAAATGTTATATCATGCTACTAAAACCGGAAAAAAATACAAAAAAGCACATGATGGGGAAGGATGTATTTAAATCATTCTAAGAATGGAAAACAAGGAGGTCATAAAGGTATTCTAAATACTGTTTTTTTATTTTTATTTTTTATTTTAAATTATATTTTTGTGAACATCTGTAAATTAAGTCAGAGTCAGAGATTCTTGATTGTCATTCACACCTCATGTGGTACAATGTGGTGGAGCGAAATTATGTACACAGGGTCCCAGTTACATCCAACAATAAAATGTAAAAGAAAAACAATGATAACATCTAATATATGAACTAAGAAAAACATCAACTAAATATACACTAAGCACTAATAGCATAAAAACCTTATGTCGAACATCAACGTTATCATAATTTACATTATTTTCATACAAATAAACAACTTAACAGATACGGTAATTGCTTGTAAGTTTATCAGAACTGCAGGATTTTGATGTGGACAAAACCTGTAAAAAGCACGTAGTACTGTTTCCTTCAGTTTTATTTATTTATTTATTTTCCAGATAATTTTAGAGGAGGTCCAATGTCCTATTCTTTGAAAGTGTGACAAGCATATTGACATCCTTTTTTTGTTTCCTAAATGTAGTCAGTAATTTATTGCTTAGTTTATAATAGATTAGGTTATTTTTAGTGGTGTGCAATACTGCAAAATTTGGTATTGATCGATACCAAGTAAATACAGGTCCAGTATCTCCGATACTGATACCGATATGATACTTTTAAATAATTACGGTGAATTTTGATAACGTTTAAGTGTTTTGTGATTTTTCCTTTGGATCATTCTTCCACTTACATTTTCATGTGCTTATATAAATTTGTTGTGTTACCACTGTCTCTTACAACCCAACAATTTTCAGTCATGCCATCTGGATAGTTTATTTTTTGCTGAAATGTTTCACCTTCCATCCGGAAGGCTTCATCAGTCAAGGAAACATACAACACAAACTGATTCTTCCCCCAAACAGCTTACTCCAAAGTGGAACAAACCAGTTATGTTGGTGCTAAAATGGTGTCTTTGGCACACCCCTTCCTGTCCAGATGACCTGACTGAAAATTGTTGGATTTTATACCTGAATTATTGAGCATGGACTGTTTTTGTATATAACAACCTTTTTACAAATTAAACAGCTTGCCGTTGTTTGATTTTTGGCCTGAAAATATAGCGCTTCTCTTGCTCTCTGTCATTTCTGTGCTCCGTCTCGGCGCTGCTTATGTGTTTATGCTGCTGCTGGGTCGGGCCTGATTGCTTGCTTGTCTGGCGCTGCTGAATCACACATCAAAACAATGTGGGTAGGGGCAGAGCACAATTATTTGCCAGCTCTGTGTTGTGACAGGAGCGGCACTTACACAGCCGGCTCGCATCTTTGATGAAACCGCAGCAGTGCATACATGAGAGAAACTGAATCAAAAGTATCAATATCATTACACTGGTATTGGTCAATATCAATACCAATGACTGTATCAATATTATCTATATTTGGATCGATCCACCCACCACTAGTTATTTTCTCTGACCTTTTAGTTTAGATCTACTACCTCTGTAGAAATATTGTGTGGGGAAACAAATTCTCATTTGATTTCAAAGAGAATTGAGCTTGTTATGCACTTACATTACCCAAAGTAATGTAAATCTTTTATTAGTGTATTTTAGAAATAATTTACATAGTATTGCACAGTGACTTCCAAAGACATATAGACAGAAAACATCAAAGAGCTTAATGTCCCTAGTCTGGACGTGGGTTACCGGAGCCCCACCCTGGTTCTAGGCATAGGGAGGGGCTCGTCGGTGAGTGACTGGTGAGTGGGTCTCTACCCTTGGGCCCGGTCGAACTCAGCCTGAACATACCTTCCTGTGGCCCAACACCTGCAGGAGGGGCCATATGAGTTGGGTGCATGATGCCATGTGTAGTGGCCAAATCGTTGCCAATTGTTGAGGTGGCTGCCTTGAGTTGAAGCCACAAGGTTGTTGGTGCTTCTTGGAGTGGCTATCCTCATTCTTGGTGATGGACACCCAGGATAGGGAAGCTGTCAAGCTGAAGGTCCTATTGGGCCTTGTTAGCTGGTGGAATTCCTGAGGCAGATAAGGATTATCAAAGGGCCAAGCAGGCTGCAACCTTGGCTTTTGCTGAGGCAAAAAAACTTGGATGTGGGAGGAGTTTGGTGAGGCCTTGTATAGAGACTGTTGATTGACCCCGAATAGTTTCTACCAAACCATCAAGGGACTTTGTAGGGGAAAGCAGTGCTATACTAACACTGTGTTCTGTGAAAGTGGGGTGCTGTTGACCTCTACGAGTGGTGTTGTCAAGAGGTGGAAGGAATACTTCTCAGAACTTTTCAATCCCACGGCATGTCTTCCATAGAAGAAGCAGTCGGGGTCTTCCATAACTGTGGCTGAGGTTGCCGAGGTAGTTAAAAAGCTCTCCGGTGGCTGGGGGTGGACAAGATCTACCCTGATTTCCTAAACTCACTGGCTGTTTTTGTTGACATGCTTTTGCAACATTGCATGGGCATCAAGGGTAGTGCCACTGGATTTGCAAACTGGGGTGGTGGTTTACCTATTCAAAAAGGAGGACCGAAGAGTGTGCTCCATTTATAGGGGCATCACTCACAGCCTCCCTCTTAAGGTCTATTCAGGCGTAGACGGGGTAGCTTCTAACTGGAGTTCCTAAGAGGGATCACATCACCCCCACTCTGGCTTCACTCCACTGGCTGCCCGTTAATTTTAGATTACATTTTAGATTAAGATTTTAAAATTTGAGATTATTCATTTGTTTTTAAAAGTTTAAATTGTCTTGCCCCATCTTACCTCTCTGAGCTGTTTCACCTGTACTCTCCAGCTCAGTGCATCAGGTCAGCTAATCAGCTGCTCCTGGAGGTGTTGAGGTCCAAACAAAGGCTCAGAATGATAGAGCTTTATCTGTAGCCACTCAAAAGTATGGAATGATCTCCCTCTTCCCGTCATACAAACCCCTTCACTGTCCATTTTTAAAACTCCTAAATATGCATTTTTTATACCCTGGCTTTAGGCACAGCCTGAAATTTGTTCTGCACTGTTGTTTTTATTGAACTTAATGTTTTATTCTAACAGTTGTGTCAAGTCCTTTAGATAAATTCAATAAAAGGTTACTCTTACAAGCTTACTGTTTGTATGTGTTTAAATGCTCTTGATTTGAAATGTACTGCAGTTTGTTGCAGCTGTTGTTGTTTTATAGGGCTTCATAAATGAAGTAGTAGTAGTAGCAGTAGCAGTAGCAGTAGAAGTAGCAGTAGTGGAGAAGTGAATCAGATAGTTTGTCTAACATCGGATTCAGGAGGAACAATGTGAGTTCTGTCCTGGCCATGGAACCCTGGACCAGCACTTTACCCTTAATAGGGGGAGGACACAGTGGTGTGCACCCCCCCCCCCCCCCCTTACTAATACTTATGATGTCATTGCACACAACAGAGTAGGATACTCTCTGGACATGTTGGAAAGACTATGGGTGCATTCACACCAGCCCTGTTTAGTCCGCTTTAATGAAACACTAGCTCGTTTTCCTAGAAAGTCCGGTTCGTTTGGGGAGGTGTGAACGTGCCATCAAACTCTGTCATGGAACAAAAAGGCAAACTCTGGCCCGGGCTAAAACCTAGGTCTCGGTCCGGTAGAAGAGAACTCCAGCGCAGTTCCAGTACAGTGTGAATGTAATCAGTCCTGGCCCCACTCCACAAGCAAGAAGTGGAGTACAGCGCAGGGCAAACAAACACGCATTTCTCTTACCTTATATGGAGCCGTCAGCTGCCTTGTGTGAAAAACGATATTCTCCATTGTCTTTTGCCTCATCTTCTGCTCATGCTGAGTCCATTTTTGAAAAATTACAAAATATAACTCCTAAAACTGCTAAAACTTGATGCCACTCCATTTTTGTTTTGATTTCCAGAAGAAGAAGTGTCTTCAGAGGTTTTTGTGTTGTTTCTTTCAGTAGTTCTTGGTGCAGCGCCCCCACAGGCGAGCAGGGGTATAGGTTGGTTCAACAGGTTGGCTCGACTGCACAGTGCAGTGTGAATGCAAACGCACCAGCTCAACTGTAAACAAATTTCATGAATATTGGTCCCCAACCGAACCGAGTCTACCGGACTATCAGGTGTGAAAACAACCTGTGTCTCTTGGTTGACCTGAGAATGCCTTGGAACCCTCCCAGGAGAGCTGGAAGTGGTGGCTGTGGAAAGAGATGTGTGGGCCTCCCTGCTCAAGCTGCTGACCCTGCAACCCGACTTTGGACCAAGCGGAAGATAAGGATGGATGGATGTACAGTATTAAACATTGTTTTGGATGTTAGATTTAGTAAAAATGAATAAAAAAGATCTTGAAACATTCAGGTCAGGTTAAACGGTAAAAAAAAAAAAATCCCTAGGTGAAAATGTGAATGCTTTTCTGTCTCATTTATCTCTGTGTTCCTGTAATAGACTCACAGACCTGTCCAGGGTATACAGTGGGTCTATGAATGACTGCTGGACAATGGCACTAGCAACCTGGAAAGGAATGGGCGGATAAAGAAAATGGATGCTTGGATGGATGAACAGTGTACAATGAACTTTTATTGACGTGCCTTTGGATCCTAAAAAAAAACTAAATGTGTGTATCAGTTTATTTACCTGATTCTGAAATCATTACAAAAATACCTGAATATATACACATATATATATATATATATATATATATATATATATATATATATATATATATATATATATATATATATAAAGCCTTAAAGCTCCACTAAATGGCATTCAGCCCAGTACACAACACACACTACCTGAAACCTAAATCTCTTAAGGCATCTTCGTTCTCTTGCCCCACCCTCTACAGAAAATAGTAGTTGCTGTGCAAATATAATGCCCTATAATACAATGTCCTTTAGTAAGCTCAAAATAGCATAAGTATAAGTGCAAGTCTGATAATCTCATTCTTGTACATGTAATGCTACCCATCAGTTTGACTCCTTCCCTCAGCATGACATTTACTCAGAGATGGCCAGAGCAGGGATGGGCACTTTTGCAATTATTACTGGTGGCATCTTTCTCACAGGCTGAGGAGACAGACTGCAGACAGAGAGGAGACACAGAAAACTCCCATCTTCTTAAGGATGGAGACATTATGCTGGGTGGACTCTTTTCTTTCCACACAAACTGGATAGAAAAACAGGAAACCTACATGAAAAAGCCCCTGCCACTACAATGCATAAGGTAATTTATACTACAGTGTATGTATTAAAGTAAAAAAAATACATGAATTTCAAATTATAATGACATGTATACTTAACATCAGTATTTAAACTGCTTATTGCTTTTATTTCACCTTTGTAATATTTTACTTTTTTTCATGTAACACTGATTATTATACCAAATATTCATAATTGTTTGCTTTAAGTTTGAATTTCAGGGAATTCCAATTAGCCCAGTCTATGCTTTTTGCAATTGAGGAAATAAATAACAGTTCAGATCTTCTACAAGGGATCTCTTTGGGTTATAAACTGTTTGATACTTGTGGTTCTATAGCCAGAAGTGTAAGGTCTGCACTGTCTTTGGTTAATGGTGATGAAAATGAGTCTATAACTGTGAAGGCATGTACTGGACCTGGCCATGTTCAGGCCATAATGGGAGAAGCTTCTTCCTCTCCGAGCATGGCAATATCTACTGTTATTGGACCATTTCATATTCCGTTGGTGGGTAGGATTAAAATACTCTCCACTATTCTTTACATTATGAGTTTGTACTAATTAAATTTGTAATTTTATTCTAAGGACACAATGTATTTTTTTCATTTTTAGATCAGTCATTTTGCTACATGTGCTTGTCTGAGTGATAAAACTAAGTACCCATCATTTCTCAGAACCATACCCAGTGACTACTATCAGAGCAGAGCTTTGGCACATTTGGTCAAACATTTTGGTTGGACTTGGGTTGGAGCTCTTAGATCAAATGAAGATTATGGCAATAACGGCATGGCAATATTTACAGAAACAGCCCAGCAGCTGGGCATTTGTTTGGAATATTCTGAGCCATTCTTTAGAACAGATCCATTAGAAAAAATACAAAACATATTTGACATTATCAAGGGCTCTACGTCAAAAGTGATTGTCGCTTTCCTCTCTCACATGGACATGGAGGTTCTTGTACAAATGTTGTCTGCCCACAATTTGACAGGATACCAGTGGGTCGGTACCGAGGCATGGATTTTTGACTCTCAAACTGCATCAAGAGATAAGAATCACATCCTGGATGGGGCTATAGGACTCTACATTCCAAAAGCCCACGTCAGTGGTCTTAAAGAGTTTATGTTTAATGTAAAACCACTCAATTCAACAAACAGTGACTTGTTTACTGAATTCTATGAGGCATTATTCAGCTGTAAGTTCAGACAGTCACAATCAGAAGAGATTCAAAGAGAATGTACTGGACATGAGGATCTAACTCAAGTGGAAAACATTTTTACCGACATGTCTCACATGTCCATTTTTAACAACATGTATAAAGGAGTATATGCAGTGGCCCATGCACTGCACAATATTCTCAGCTGTAATAAAACATGCAACAAAAGTGTGAAGCTTGATCCCAACACGGTGAGCCTAATATCAATATTAAAAGCATATGGCCATTTACTGTACATGTTTTAAGCTTGTGTTAACATTTTTAGAACACAAAAGATCATTCATTTGTAGAAACATTTATTAGTTTCAGATTTTATATATCTCAAGCAATGCTTATATATATATATATATATATATATATATATATATATATATATATATGTATGTATTTAAAAAAAAAATGCAAACGTTAAAAGAAAAGTTTTTGGAACAGCATTACGATTCGCACTCAACATCCAGGATTAAGAACACAATTTTAGGGCATTGAGGCACAAGAATCATCAGTGACAAATTGTATCTTTTTTGGCCTACTATATGCATGAGTCAGTGAAGTAAGATGTTTATAACATTATCACTTTATTTAATCCATCTTAGATTTTACAGAACATAAAAAAGGTAAACTTCAAAACAAAAGAAGGTGAGAATGTTTACTTTAATAAGAACGGAGATCCTGTTGCAAAGTATGAAATCATAAACTGGCAGCCAAGAAAAAATGAAAAAGTGGATTTTGTCACAGTTGGTGTTTATGACGCATCGTTGTCTCCAGAAAATCAGATGAATCTACAGAATAAGTCTTTAATTTGGGCAAACAACTCGATGAAGGTAACCTACACTGAATGTCTAATATAGTGTTTTAATTTTTGAAATATTTGACTTTGCTTTTTCAATATTCAAGAAAATACCCAGAATAACATTTTATGCTTCTCTCTTTTTCTATCTTCCTTTTTTGTGTTTTTGTCTAAGCAGGTGCCTGTGTCAGTTTGCAGCGAGTTGTGTCCTCCAGGAACACGTAAGGTTTTACAGAAGGGAAAACCTGTTTGCTGCTATGACTGTATAAGATGTTCAGAGGGAGAAATGAGCAACAACACTGGTTAGTATATTTAAATATATTTTATTTGGTGCTTTTTATCTTTACTATGCTAAATTATATCAGTGAATAATTGTGACCAAAAAAATGCCTGAACAAATTATTTTTTCTAGATTAATGTACTAATTAATGATAATCATGCTTTCCTTGGGCAAAATAAATTGTCTCAAAAATTACCTTTTTACATAGAATGCGTACTTAAGGAAGTGCCATTGAGGTTTTGAGACCCCATCTCACTGAACATATATTCTAAAATGTTGCAAGAGTGGGGGTAAAAATGTGGGTTTTAGAATTTAATTTCAAGTTTGTTTTAGTTTTTTGGGTTTTTTTTAACGCAAAAGTTTTCACTAATTTTCATTACTGTACTTGTATGTCATAAAGTAATGCCTGAATAATAAAGAAATGTAAGTACTAAGTTTTGTCAATTTTAATCATCATTTTTCAGATTCTGCCACCTGTATGAGATGCCCCCCTGAATTCTGGCCAAATGACAAAAGAGACACCTGTGTAATAAAAAAGACAGAGTTTCTGTCATATGATGAGATTATGGGAGCACTGCTTATCGCAGCCTCATTATTTGGAACATGTCTGACTGCTGCTGTCGCTGTCTTTTTCTTCAGACACAGGAAAACTCCTCTTGTCAGAGCAAACAACTCTGAGTTGAGCTTCCTGCTGCTTTTCTCCTTGACTCTGTGTTTTCTCTGCTCTCTGACCTTCATTGGACGTCCCTCTGAGTGGTCCTGTATGCTCCGTCACACAGCTTTTGGCATCGCCTTTGTCCTCAGTATCTCCTGCATTTTGGGGAAAACAATGGTGGTTTTAATGGCATTTAAAGCTACACTTCCAGGAAAAAACGTGATGAAATGGTTTGGACCTGCACAGCAGAGACTCTGTGTTCTGGGTTTTACTGTTTTGCAAGTGATTATATGTATCATCTGGTTAGCCACTTTCCCTCCATTTCCATCTGAAAATGTAAAATATTTTAAAGATAAAATCATCTTGGAGTGTGCTCTGGGTTCAGCTGTAGGCTTCTGGTCTGTACTTGGGTACATTGGACTTCTTGCCATGTTGTGTTTCATTTTAGCTTTTCTGGCTCGAAAACTGCCGGATAATTTCAATGAAGCTAAATTTATCACCTTCAGCATGCTGATATTCTGTGCAGTCTGGATCACTTTTATCCCAGCATATGTCAGCTCTCCAGGAAAGTTTAGTGTTGCTGTAGAAATTTTTGCCATTCTTGCTTCCAGTTTTGGACTGCTGATTTGTATTTTCATACCAAAATGTTATATTATTTTACGAAAACCAGATAAGAATACGAAAAAGAACATGATGGGTAAGGGAGTAATAAAATCTTGAAGATAAAGAAAAGTTTTGTTGTAACTGGTCTTTTATATGCTGCATTTATGTATATTTTGAATAGGGTATATCATTGATTCTTTGTTTGCACTGAGTAATCCTAAATTTGTACTTGACAAACAAAATAAATATTTTTAAGCAACGGCTACTGCTAATCATATTGATTTGTTAGTATGAAGTGCTAAACTCAATTCACTTAGGTACCTAGTTAACATCTGAGCACAAGTCAATATATATTTTTAATAATTCACTTTTCAACAAGTGTATTTAGACAGACACAGCCAGACACGGACGGATGGACAGACAGACAGACAGGCAGACAGATAGATAGATCCAATCGATTGATTGGTTTGTCTGAGTAGGGAAAATGTTATGCAGCATTGTCAGCAGGCATTTACATAAGGATATATATATATACATACAAACATGACATTAACATCCATGTTAATGGACGTTAAGGCTGCTCTAGCGAGCACACCATAATTTCATCCATGTCTTCAAAAAAAATCATCAATAAGCTTTCTTGGGTTTCAGATGCTAATAAGTTCAAGGTTCAAGATTCATTATTGTCATTCGCTTCATATGTAGTAAATGAGGTGGGACTAATTTGTGTACCCAAGGTCTCAGTTTTTTAAAAATAGCAATAGTCAAAATAGCAAAACTATACAGTATAAAAAGAAACAGTACACAAGGTTCTAAGATATACAATATGTTAAACACTAATAATGTAAAATAATATGGTATGTTAAACAGCTTCCCAAACATCAGTCAGACATATTTATTTGTCATACACATCACATGTGATACATGAGGTGAGACAAAACTATGTACATAGGGTCCCAATTATATCCCACAAAAACACAAATTGTAAAGAAAAAACATTAGTAAGATCTGAGTCATGAACTAAGACATTCACTAAATTAAGAATACACTAAGCATTAATGCTACAAAAACAGTGTGCCAAAACAACAGCAGCATGAACATGAGTCTGTATGAGCAGATGAGGACTAATGAACACAGCAACATGAAATAATCAGCAGCATGAGATCAGCATCATGGATAGTCAGCAGCACATATCAACAACCAAGTGGCATTACAGCGATTATCACAGGTTTTTAATTTATTTATTTCTTCCACTGTGATTTTTCACATACATTTTCAGTGATTTTTCCTGGTTAGAGATTCATGAGTCTAACAACCTAAAGGTAGATGCTATTCCTCAGCCTGGTGGCTCTGCATTTAATGCTCCTCAGCCTTCTGCCTGAGGGAAGCAGGGCAAAAACTGTGTGTGCTTGGTGTGTGGGGTCTGTAGTGAGCAGATGGGTATGGATATAGCAGCTTAAAGGCAAGAAATCAACAGCATGGATAATCAGAAGCCCAGATAAGTTACAAATCACCAATTTAAGTGGCATTACAGCAATTTTCACAGTTTTTTTTTTTCCCACAGTGATTTTTCACAGTAATTTTCACAGTGATTTTCCTGGTTAGGTAGTCATGAGTCTAACAGCTTCATGGTAGAAGCTGTTCCTCAGCCTAGTGGTTCTACACTTAATGTTCTGCTACCTCCTGCCTGAGGGGAGTGGGGGAAAAAAAATGAGTGTGCTGTGTGAGTGGGGTCCTTCATGATGCAGGTGGCCTTCCTGCATCTGGAAGTGTAGATGTCTGTGATGGTGTGGACATCAGAGATTTAATGGTGAACTAAAATTCATTAAAAGTGCATTAGCAGGATATATATATATATATATATATATAGATATCATGATCGGCTCCGCGTGTGGGGACCCAAAGTGCAGGAAGATGAATGAAGCTTCAGTAAATAAGTAAAATAGTTTATTTAATTAAATAAACAAAACAAAATGCTGTCGGGGCAGCAAACTTACTCAAAGGAGGACACACAGGAGAGACAGGTCATGAAGCCTTAGGAAAAGGACAATCCAGAGACACTGACAAGACACCAAGAGGCTGAATATATACAGACACAAACAAGGTGAAATGAGTGACACCTGCGGTGATTAGAATTAGACACAGGTGCAACAGTGCTGGAACACAGGAGGAGAAAAGCTGAGGGGTGACAGGCAAACATGAGGGAAAACACAACATGTAAGACAAGACCCCAGAAACCCTACAATATATATATATATATATATATATAT